CCTCCATGGCCATTTTTTTTAGGGTCCTGTTATGTTTCTTCATGATCTTAGAGGTAGGAATTGGTACCAAAAAGCCAGGCTCAGGGAATTTGGGACTGAGAGGCCCTGGGAGGAGAGGTCCTTGGTGGTGCCTAAGCCAAGGAGCTGGGGGCCTACAGCTGGCAGGAGCTGCCATTAGGAACATCAAGTAGAGGCCTTCAGCTGGCATCAGCCACACAGGCATATTATATAGCTCTGTGGGTGAACAACTGAGCAGATCCTACTGTCCTATTAGCCATGTCTTCACCATCTTTAACCTTGTCCCAGGTAAGCATCCTTGATTCTGCTTACCTCTTCTTTGCTAGAACCTTTTCTCATTTGTGAGTCTCAAGTCCCAAGCCAGGCTCCACTGAGGAGCAGTATTTAAGGCCTGGCTTGGTGATAGTAAGCAAGTGCCCAAGAACTCAGGGGTTTGAAAATAATATTCCTCTTTCCAGGATAAAACACTGATTGATACAAAGAGGCTCATACTTGAGATATGTAAGAAAATTCCAAACGTGAAGTCAGATTCTCAGGCCTGTAAGACCTGAGAGCCAACTGGCTAAAATTTCAAATGTTTGAGACAAAACTATGCGCTCAAACTGAGGCACACTTTCTAAACATTAAACACAGAAGCCAAAATGAAAAAGAATAATAAATTTGCCCTCTCTCTCTCTCTCTCTCTCTCTCTCTCTCTCTCTCTCTCTCACACACACACACACACACACACACACACACACACACACACACACACACCCCACAAAGTCAAGAAATGAATGGGAACGCAGAACACAGAATAAGTTATCTGGAAGGTATCTGGCAAGAGGCTAAATTTTTTTCAAAGGAAAATGATTTTTAATATCCAAAAGGGAAAAGACAATTTCTTCAATTGTCTTGGCTCAAAGTGAGCCAAAAATTTGAGTAAATAATATACCTGAAAGGACTCTATTTCCCTTTTTGGCCACACATCAGTTGTTTGGCCTGTAGTGAGGCCCCTCTCCAAGGGCCTCTTTATCTACCTCCTACCTGGCATCTTGTCGAGGGGAAGTTGCACAACACAGAACAGAGAGATACCACATCCTTCCCTGTGTATCCCACAGGTCCAGACAGGAACCCACACATTTGTGACCCCATATCCTTCTCCTGAGGATAGTAGTCCTGGTAAAAGTAAAAGGGGCTGAGTGTGGGCCCACAGGTCTGAAGGGGAAACCATCAGAACTGACTCCTGGACACATCCTCAGACCTCCATTGAGGAAGAGAGAGAGCCCTCTGTCATCTTGGCAAGGCCCACTGCTCTCCTTCAACATTCTCCCCACCAAGCATGCTCTATCTACTTTTGGGTCTTCAGCAACCACAGATACTAATTTTTCCAGATGCACTGACACATAAGAAGCACTTCATTTTGCTCATGACTGGGAATCAGGATTTCAGGAAGTGACAGCGACGTGCTTCTCAAATCAGGGTGTCTCGGGGTGGGATCAGAGAGTAGCTGGGACAAGACTGGGCTCATTATTCATGGGTAGGGTGGTTTTTTAAACAACTTTATTAAAATATAAATCTCATAACATACATTTCAACCATTTGAGTGTATAATTCAATGGCTTTTAGTATTTTCACAAAGTTTTACATCTAAAACAACAATCAACTTTAGAATGTTTTCATTACCCCAAAAAGACACCCCACGCTCTTTAGCTATCATCCCCCTTCCTGTCTCCCCATCCCTTCTAGCCCTAGGCAACCACTAATCTACTTTCTTTCTCTATAGATTTACCTACTCTGGACATGTCATATAAATGGAATCATACTATATATTATCTTTTTAGTGTCTGGTTTCTTTCACTTAGCATATTTTCAAGGTTCATCCATGTTCTAGCATGTATTGACAAGTAATATTCCATTGTGTGTATAATATATTTCATTTATCCATTCATCAACTGGTGACATTTGTGTTGTTTCCACTTTTTAGCTATTATTATATGTAATACTGCTGTGAACACTTATGTTCAAGCTTTTGTGTAGACAGGTGTTTTTATTTTGAGCATATACCTAAAGTGGAATAATTGGGTTACATGGTAATTCTATGTTTAACTTTTTGAGGAATTACTAAATGGTTTTCCAAAATGGACACAACTATTTTACATTCCCATCGGCAGTGTGTGTGTTCCAATTTCTCTACCTCTTTGACAACACTGCCTATTATGTCTTTTTTGATGACAGCCATCCTAGTGGGTGTGAAGTGAGATAAGTGGTAAAATTTTGGCAAATGTGACAAAGAAAAATTGAATATCCATAATATCAAAGGGCTGTTACAAATTATTTTTTAATAAAGAGACAAAAATACAGTAGGAAACTGGATGAAAGTTATAAACATGAACACACATCACAGAAAAAAATTACAAATGTCTCTAATACACATGTGAAAATATGCTTAATTCCTCAACAATAAAAATTCTAATTAACCCAACAATAAAATGCTACTATTATCTTACACATTGGGGAAAAAAATTAAACACAATGACAATGCCTATTTGATAAGGCTCTTTCATTAGCTTTGGCAGAGGGGGAATCGAACAGTCTTTGTTCATAGTGGTTTAGCAACCTGTTAAATATTTAAAAGTTACATATTCCTTAACACAATGTTCCACATCTAAGATTGTATCCCACAGAAACATTTGCCTATGTGAACAAAATTGCCTGAAGAAATACTTACTGCAACACAGTTTCTAATAGTAAAAAACAAAAAGGAAAATTAGCCCAAATGTGTATCAAAATAGACTATTAAATAAAATATATAATATCTATGAAATGAGATTTTAAAAATCAACCAAAATATGAACATGTGCTGCCATGGAAAACTATCTGCTCTATATAAATGCTATAAGAAAGTGTAAAACACTAAGCAGAGAAAGATCTGGATTTCTTAAGAAAAGATAATGATTCGTTAAGCTCAAATAAAAGAAAATCTGGAGTTTTTGAACCGTTCACAGGCTGTGCCTGAGATTACACAACAATGTCATTTTCTA